ACACTAGCCTAGGCTACACATACACTAGCCTAGGCTACACATACACTAGCCTTGGCTACACATACACTAGCCTTGGCTACACATACACTAGCCTAGGCTACACATACACTAGCCTAGGCAACACATACACTAGCCTAGGCTACACATACACTAGCCTAGGCTACACATACACTAGCCTTGGCTACACATACACTAGCCTAGGCTACACATATACTAGCCTTGGCTACACATACACTAGCCTAGGCTACACATATACTAGCCTAGGCTACACATACACTAGCCTAGGCTACACATATACTAGCCTAGGCTTCACATATACTAGCCTAGGCTACACATACACTAGCCTAGGCTACACATACACTAGCCTAGGCTCGACATACACTAGCCTACACCTGTCCTTGTACACATGTGGACCTACACACCCGACTACACACCATCTCCCGCCTTCCTGTGTATCGCTACAACGTTATAAGGCGGAAAACGTCAACTGGAAAAGAATATGTAAAAACCAATACTGTAAGTTATATGTGGAGCCCGAAGGAAGGGGGAGGTTACCTTGAGAGGATTTCGGGGCCTAGCGTCCCCGCGGCCCGGTCGTCGACAAGGCCTCCTCGTTGCTGGACTGGTCAACCAGGCTGTTGGACGCAGCTGCTCGTAGCCTGACGTATGAGTCACAGCCTGGTTGATCAGGTATCCTTTGGAGGTGTTTATCCAGTTCTCTCTTGAACACTGTGAGGGGTCGGCCAGTTATGCCCCTTATGTGTAGTGGAAGCGTGTTGAACAGTCTCGGGCCTCTGATGTTGATAGTTCTCTCTTGAACACTGTGAGGGGTCGGCCAGTTATGTCCCTTATGTGTAGTGGAAGCGTGTTGAACAGTCTCGGGCCTCTGATGTTGATAATGATATGACTGAGTTTTGTACCTAGTTTCCGTTTTTATATTTTCTATGTTTTTCCATAGCGCATGAGCTGGAACTTATCTTCGTTAAACACCATATTATTTTCTGTAGCCCATAGAAAGACCTGATCTACATCTGATTGAAGATTTCCTGTGTCCTTTATGTTGTCTACTCTCATGAAGATCCTAGTGTCATCTGCAAAGGATGATACAGTGCTATAGGTTGTGTTCTGGTCTATGTCCGATATGAGGATGAGAAAAAGTACTGGAGCAAGCACAGTACCCTGGGGGACTGAGCTCTTCACGGTTGATGGACCGGATTATATTTTGTTGACTATTACACATTGGGTTCTGTTAGTCAGGAAATTGTAGATCCATTTGCCTATTTTTCTGGTAATTCATTTTGAACGCATTTTTGTGTGCAATAACACCATGGTCACATTTATCAAAAGCTTTTGCGAAATCTGTGAAAATTACATCAGCGTTTTGTTTGTCTTCCATAGCATCTAATGCCATGTCTTAGTGCTCCAGCAACTGTGACAGGCAAGAGCGCCCTGTTCTGAAACCATGTTGTCCGGGGTTACGAAGATTCCACGTGTTTTGTGATCTTACTTCTTAGCACTCTCTCAAAGATTTTTATGAGGTGCGATGTTAGTGCTATCGGTTTGTAATATTTTGCCTCTGCCTTATTTCCTCCTTTATGGAGTGGTGTTATCTCATATATTTTTTATATGTCAGGGATAACGCCAGTATCTAGGCTTTGTCTCCAAAGAATGTGAAGGGCCTGTGACAGTAGTGTTTTTTTTTTTACAGATTTTGATGAATATAGAGTTCCAAGAGTCAGGACCTGGTGCAGAGTGCATAGGCATAGTGTCTATGGCTTCAAAATCCAGTGAGGATAGGGTGACATCTGATATTTGATTTGATGTTGGAATCACATCCATGAAAAATTAATTTGGATTATCAATCTTCAGTGTCTTTAGTGACAATATGACAGAGTCATATTGTCTTCTATTTCTATTCTATGAGCAGTATTTCGCTCAGTTCTTTGTTGTCATCAGTGAAAGTTCCATCTCTCTTTCGCAGGGGCCCGATACTAGATGTTATTTTTATATTGATTTTGCATAGGAGAAAAAATATTTCGGATCTGTTTCTATTTCACTGATGGCCTTTTGCTCTCTTTGCCTCTCCTGGGTTTTGTATGATTCTTGTAGCTTGAGTCAATTGTTTCTATTTCTCTACCTAACCTTCTTCGCCGTTCTTGAGACAGGGTGCGACTCTCAAGTTGTTCCAAGATTCGTTTTCTTCGCCTATATAGGGAACGACGTTCTCGTTCCAATCTGCATCTCTTCCACTTTTTTCTTAGGGGTATGCGGTTTGAACATATTTCTAGTGCTACTGAGCTTATTTTTTTCAGGCACTGGTTCAGGTTTGCATTTTCTAGCTGTTCTTCCCAGTTTATTTCTGTGAAGCCTTGGTTTATTTGCTCCCAGTTTATCTGTTTATTATTGACATTGAATTTGCAGAATTGTCCTCCCCTGGGGCTCGGGACTGGTTGTGCAGGACTACTCGCCATGCTTGTCAGAACTTCAATTAAGTTGTGATCTTAGTAAAAGGTATTTGTAATCATTAGGTTCCTGATGAATTCATCATTATTAATGAAAGTGGGGTCCAGCGTGTTCGCCTTCCTAGTTGGTTCTACTATTTGCTGGTTTAAGGCAAACCTATCGCACATCCGTAGCAGGTCATTTGCATGTGCCTGTTCATTTAGGCTACTTCCTGGTATTCTTTCTGATATTACTGTATTAGCCAGGTGCTTCCATTTCAGGTGCCGAAGGTTGAAGTCCCCAAACAGGATGATGTTCGGGGCTGGATTTGTGAGGTTTTTCAAGCAGTGTTCTATTTTCATTAGTTGGTCTTTAAACTGCTGAGGGTTTGCCTCCGGTGACTTATATACAAGGACAACAACTACATTTAGAATATCTTCTTTGATTATCATCACTTCCACCATATCATTTGTGGTGTTTAGCAGCTGAGTACAGATGAGTGTATACTTGATATAGAGGCTGACCCCACCCTGTAACCGCTGTTTCCTGTCACATCTGAAAAGATTGTACTCTGAGATCCATATTTCACCATCATGGTAGTCCTCTGTGTGGGTTTCCGTTAGGGCTGCAAACACTACATTTGTAAATGCAGTGTTTACTGCATTTATAAAGTACAGTGCCTGATGTAGGAGGCCAGCCAGGAGGGAGGCAGGGATGTTGTGGGAGAGCCAGGAGGGAGGCAGGGATGTTGTGGGAGAGCCAGGAGGAAGGCAGGGATGTTGTGGGAGAGCCAGGAGGGAGGCAGGGATGTTGTGGGAGAGCCAGGAGGAAGGCAGGGATGTTGTGGGAGAGCCAGGAGGAAGGCAGGGATGTTGTGGGAGAGCCAGGAGGGAGGCAGGGATGTTGTGGGAGAGCCAGGAGGGAGGCAGGGATGTTGTGGGAGAGCCAGGAGGGAGGCAGGGATGTTGTGGGAGAGCCAGGAGGGAGGCAGGGATGTTGTGGGAGAGCCAGGAGGAGGGCAGGGATGTTGTGGGAGAGCCAGGAGGGAGGCAGGGATGTTGTGGGAGAGCCAGGAGGGAGGCAGGGATGTTGTGGGAGAGCCAGGAGGAGGGCAGGGATGTTGTGGGAGAGCCAGGAGGGAGGCAGGGATGTTGTGGGAGAGGCAGGAGGAGGGCAGGGATGTTGTGGGAGAGCCAGGAGGGAGGCAGGGATGTTGTGGGAGAGCCAGGAGAGAGGCAGGGATGTTGTGGGAGAGCCAGGAGGAAGGCAGGGATGTTGTGGGAGAGCCAGGAGGAAGGCAGGGATGTTGTGGGAGAGCCAGGAGGGAGGCAGGGATGTTGTGGGAGAGCCAGGAGGGAGGCAGGGATGTTGTGGGAGAGCCAGGAGAGGGGTGTGGGGGCGGGGGGGACTTGTGGTGAGCCAGTGACCCGGGGCATCAGTGATCAAGATACCAGGAGAGGCCATCAATCAATCAGCCATTAAGGATCCCTGGAGGGTGGGCTTCCTAACCCCTGAACTGTGGCTTGGTCCGCCTCAAGCCACTGTTCCGCCTCATGATGTGTGTGGTGTGTGCGTGTGGGATTGCGGGAGGGGCGCTTGTGTGCGTGTGGGATTGGGGGAGAGGCGTTTGTGTGCGTGTGGGATTGGGGGAGGGGCGCTTATGTGCGTGTGGGATTGGGGGAGGGGCGCTTGTGTGCGTGTGGGATTGGGGGAGGGGCGCTTATGTGCGTGTGGGATTGGGGGAGGGGCGCTTGTGTGCGTGTGGGATTGGGGGAGGGGCGTTTGTGTGCGTGTGGGATTGGGGGAGGGGCGCTTGTGTGCGTGTGGGATTGGGGGAGGGGCGTTTGTGTGCGTGTGGGATTGCGGGAGGGGCGCTTGTGTGCGTGTGGGATTGCGGGAGGGGCGCTTGTGTGCGTGTGGGATTGCGGGAGGGGCGTTTGTGTGCGTGTGGGATTGGGGGAGAGGCGTTTGTGTGCGTGTGGGATTGGGGGAGGGGCGTTTATGTGCGTGTGGGATTGGGGGAGGGGCGCTTGTGTGCGTGTGGGATTGGGGGAGGGGCGCTTATGTGCGTGTGGGATTGGGGGAGGGGCGCTTGTGTGCGTGTGGGATTGGGGGAGGGGCGTGTGTGTGCGTGTGGGATTGGGGGAGGGGCGCTTGTGTGCGTGTGGGATTGGGGGAGGGGCGTTTGTGTGCGTGTGGGATTGGGGGGAGGGGCGCTTGTGTGCGTGTATTTATTATTAGTGCCTGCGGGAGTGAGGTGTTAGCTCCTGAACCCCGCCTTTGTGTCCGGCTGGGGGGAAGGAGGGGTGAGTGTGTCCAGGGGGGAGGGAGGGGGTGTGTCCGGCTGGGGGGAAGGAGGGGTGAGTATGTCCAGGGGGGAGGGAGGGGATGTGTCCGGCTGGGGGGAAGGAGGGGTGAGTGTGTCCAGGGGGGAGGGAGGGGGTGTGTCCGGCTGGGGGGGAGGGGGAAGGGTTTAGAGAAGGACCCCACCAAGACGCCGTGTTCAAGGTGGTGGTGATACTGCACTTAAACGCTCTTGTACCTGGCGCTCATCTTGGCTATTTCTGACCACCTCCCTCCTCCCTGTGCTCCAGCTGCTGCTGTACGGGGTCCCTGTGCTCCAGCTGCTGCTGTACGGGGTCCCTGTGCTCCAGCTGCTGGTGTACGGGGTCCCTGTGCTCCAGCTGCTGGTGTACGGGGTCCCTGTGCTCCAGCTGCTGGTGTACGGGGTCCCTGTGCTCCAGCTGCTGGTGTACGGGGTCCCTGTGCTCCAGCTGCTGGTGTACGGGGCCCCTGTGCTCCAGCTGCTGGTGTACGGGGTCCCTGTGCTCCAGCTGCTGGTGTACGGGGTCCCTGTGCTCCAGCTGCTGCTGTACGGGGTCCCTGTGCTCCAGCTGCTGCTGTACGGGGTCCCTGTGCTCCAGCTGCTGCTGTACGGGGTCCCGGTGCTCCAGCTGCTGGTGTACGGGGTCCCTGTGCTCCAGCTGCTGCTGTACGGGGTCCCGGTGCTCCAGCTGCTGGTGTACGGGGTCCCTGTGCTCCAGCTGCTGGTGTACGGGGTCCCTGTGCTCCAGCTGCTGCTGTACGGGGTCCCTGTGCTCCAGCTGCTGCTGTACGGGGTCCCTGTGCTCCAGCTGCTGGTGTAAGGGGTCCCTGTGCTCCAGCTGCTGGTGTACGGGGTCCCTGTGCTCCAGCTGCTGGTGTAAGGGGTCCCTGTGCTCCAGCTGCTGCTGTACGGGGTCCCTGTGCTCCAGCTGCTGGTGTACGGGGTCCCTGTGCTCCAGGTGCTGCTGTACGGGGTCTCTCTCTCTTTTCCTCCGGCCTTTGTATTGTTTTTAGCTCGTCTGGGTCTAAACAAATTACCTTTCATCTTGTCGTTCACGGTTCATTAGGCCAGTGTGTCTTTAAGGATAGACTAGGCCAGTGTGTCTTTAAGGATAGACTAGGCCAGTGTGTCTTTAAGGATAGACTAGGTCAGTGTGTCTTTAAGGATAGACTAGGCCAGTGTGTCTTTAAGGATAGACTAAGCCAGTGTGTCTTTAAGGATAGACTAGGCCAGTGTGTCTTTAAGGATAGACTAGGCCAGTGTGTCTTTAAGGATAGACTAGGCCAGTGTGTCTTTAAGGATAGACTAAGCCAGTGTGTCTTTAAGGATAGACTAGGCCAGTGTGTCTTTAAGGATAGACTAGGCCAGTGTGTCTTTAAGGATAGACTAGGCCAGAGTGTCTTTAAGGATAGACTAGGCCAGTGTGTCTTTAAGGATAGACTAGGCCAGTGTGTCTTTAAGGATAGACTAGGCCAGTGTGTCTTTAAGGATAGACTAAGCCAGTGTGTCTTTAAGGATAGACTAGGCCAGTGTGTCTTTAAGGATAGACTAGGCCAGTGTGTCTTTAAGGATAGACTAGGCCAGTGTGTCTTTAAGGATAGACTAGACCAGTGTGTCTTTAAGGATAGACTAGGCCAGTGTGTCTTTAAGGATAGACTAGGCCAGTGTGTCTTTAAGGATAGACAAGACCAGTGTGTCTTTAAGGATAGACTAGGCCAGTGTGTCTTTAAGGATAGACTAGGCCAGTGTGTCTTTAAGGATAGACTAGGCCAGTGTGTCTTTAAGGATAGACTAGGCCAGTGTGTCTTTAAGGATAGACTAGACCAGTGTGTCTTTAAGGGTAGACTAGGCCAGTGTGTCTTTAAGGATAGACTAGGCCAGTGTGTCTTTAAGGATAGACTAGGCCAGTGTGTCTTTAAGGATAGACTAGGCCAGTGTGTCTTTAAGGATAGACTAGGCCAGTGTGTCTTTAAGGATAGACTAGGCCAGTGTGTCTTTAAGGATAGACTAAGCCAGTGTGTCTTTAAGGATAGACTAGGCCAGTGTGTCTTTAAGGATAGACTAGGCCAGTGTGTCTTTAAGGATAGACTAGACCAGTGTGTCTTTAAGGATAGACTAGACCAGTGTGTCTTTAAGGATAGACTAGGCCAGTGTGTCTTTAAGGATAGACTAGGCCAGTGTGTCTTTAAGGATAGACTAGACCAGTGTGTCTTTAAGGATAGACTAGGCCAGTGTGTCTTTAAGGATAGACTAGGCCAGTGTGTCTTTAAGGATAGACTAGGCCAGAGTGTCTTTAAGGATAGACTAGACCAGTGTGTCTTTAAGGATAGACTAGGCCAGTGTGTCTTTAAGGATAGACTAGACCAGTGTGTCTTTAAGGATAGACTAGGAGAGTGTGTCTTTAAGGATAGACTAGACCAGTGTGTCTTTAAGGATAGACTAGGCCAGTGTGTCTTTAAGGATAGACTAGACCAGTGTGTCTTTAAGGATAGACTAGGCCAGTGTGTCTTTAAGGATAGACTAGGCCAGTGTGTCTTTAAGGATAGACTAGACCAGTGTGTCTTTAAGGATAGACTAGGCCAGTGTGTCTTTAAGGATAGACTAGACCAGTGTGTCTTTAAGGATAGACTAGGCCAGTGTGTCTTTAAGGATAGACTAGGCCTGTGTGTCTTTAAGGATAGACTAGGCCAGTGTGTCTTTAAGGATAGACTAGGCCTGTGTGTCTTTAAGGATAGACTAGGCCAGTGTATCTTGAGCATGTTTCTCACGCCACTAGGCCTAGTCTCTTGAGGCTAGTTAGATGGTGTCAGCCAAACAACTAGCCTCTGCGTGATAGTGAATTATCATGTGTTGTCCATGTGGTTCCTCTGCCTGGGAGGGGGGAGAGAGGGAGGGAGAGAGAGGGAGGGAGAGAGAGGGAGGGTAAAAGAGAGATGGGGTGGGAGAGAGAGAGGCAGCGACACTAGAGAAGAGCTCCGGATCTTCTCACAACTACTGGCAGGATCATGAGAAAAGTCGTAAAGAGGGCAGTAGATGCGTTGAGCAGGGGCCCCCAGAGCCTGGCTCAGGGGCCCCAGAGTCTGGCTCAGGGGGGCCCCAGCGTCTGTTTCAGGGGGCCCAGCGTCTGGCTCAGGGGGCCCCAGCGCCTGGCTCAGGGGGCCCCAGAGCCTGGCTCAGGGGGCCCTAGCGTCTGTTTCAGGGGGCCCAGCGTCTGGCTCAGAGGGCCCCAGAGCCTGGCTCAGGGGGCCCCAGAGCCTGGCTCAGGGGGCCCCAGCGCCTGGCTCAGGGGGCCCAAGCGTCTGTTTCAGGGGGCCCAGCGTCTGGCTCAGGGGGCCCCAGAGCCTGGCTCAGGGGGGCCCCAGCGTCTGGCTCAGGGGGCCCAGCGTCTGGCTCAGGGGGGCCCCAGCGTCTGGCTCAGGGGGCCCTGAGAGAGACCATCACACATGTGTGGACCTGCCGTGGTGGGCGCCCTCCTACACCCACTGCTGCAGGAAGGTCATGGCTGTCTCACTGCTGCTGCTGCTGCTGCTGCTGATGTTCATGATGATTTAAGTAGTTTTGTCAGGGACAGGCAGCCTGCTATATATACTTTAGGCATGTATCGCGGTCTCCCCAATGGCGAACTACTAACCCTCCCCAGGATGCTACTCAACATTAGTTGCCTAACTTCATTTCCGAATAGCTGATTTTAACGGCCTAAGAAATGTTTGGATGTAATAGATAGGAAACTCCAGGGCACGGGTGGGGGGGGGAGCGGTCATGGAGGGAGGCGTGGCCCTAACGATGGGGGAGGTCGAAGGGATTTCGATGTGGATTCAAAACATTTGCATTCTTTAAGCATCCTGGCAAACACTTCGCCCGGCCCTGGGGGTTTGTTTAATTTTAGTTTCACTATTTGTTTAATAACATCGTCCCTGGTAACTGCTTAACTAGTCAATCTATCCTCTTCCCCACCCACATAGACTTGTTCGGCTGAAGGCATATTGTTACGTTCATCTTTAGTAAATACAGAGATAAAATATTTATTTAAAATACTACTCATCTCTTCGTATCAGTTACCTGACCTGTCTCAGTTTTTAATGGACCAATCCATTCCCCTAATCTTTGTTCGATATAAGTGAAAAAAAAACTTTAGGATTTGTCTTTGCTTGTCCTGCTATGAGAACTTCATAGTTTCTTTTTGCCCTCCTTATCTTACTCTATTTTAACATTTCTAACCAGTTGGACAAATTCTTGCTCTAAACAGACTTCCCAATTCTTAATCCTTTTGTACAAAGTTTTCTACCTATAAGGTTCTTCAGATTCATTGTTATCCATTTCAGGTCATTATTATTAGATCTATTAAGTTTGTTTGGTGTACTATGTTCCTGTGCATATAGGATATTTAGAATATTTTAATATAAGATATTAGAATATTTTCTAATTTAAATTTTCTAATTTAGTTAGAAAATTTCTAATTTTTCTTAGAATATTTTTAAGTTATATTTTGAATCCACATCGAAATCCCTTCTTACGTGCTACGTTATTTCCTCCATTTCCAATTTCCAAAATCTCTACTAAGTATATTAAAGGCTTTTATCATGTCTTACCCGCTCTCCATTTTTCAAGCGTAGTCATGTTTAGTTCTTTCAGGCGCTCTTCATATCTACCTTCGCAATTCTGGTACGAGCCTCGTCGCAAACTTCTGAACCTTTTCTAGTTTCCTTATGTGTTTCTTCAGGTGGGGACTCCATGATGAGGCGTCTTACTCTAAGACTGGTCTCACGTAGGCAGTGTAAAACGCCCTAAAAGCCTCCTCACTTAGATTTCTGAATGATGTTCTAACTTTTGGCAGTGTAGAGTACGCTGCTGTCGTTATCCTATTTATATGTGCCTCAGGAGTTAGATTAGGTGTTACGTCCACGCCCAGGTCTCTTTCTCGCGTCGTCACAGGTAGGCAGTTCCCCTTCATCGTGTACTGTCCCTTAGGTCTCCTATCACCTGATCCCATTTCCATAACTTTACATTTGCTCGTACTGAACTCCAGAAGCCATTTTTCTGACCATCTCTGCAACCTGTTTAAATCCTCTTGGAGGATCCTACAATCTTCATCTGTCACAACTCTTCTCATTAATGTTGTGTCATCCGCGAACATTAACATGTAGGACTCTACTCCTGTAAACATGCCATTAACGTATATTAAAAATAGACATTGGTCCCAGCACCGTTCCTTGAGGTACTCCACTCGTTACTGTTCGCCAGTGTGTGTGTGTGTACTTACCTAATTGTGCTTGCTGGGGTTCAGCTCTGGCTCTTTGGTCCCGTCTCTCAATCGTCAATCAACAGGTGTACAGGTTCCTGAGCCTATTGGGCTCTATCATATCTACACTTGAAACTGTGTATGGAGTCAGCCTCCACCACATCACTGCCTAATGCATTCCATTTGTCAACCACTCTGCTTTCTGGTGTTCTGTTATTCCGGAAGTTCCTCCACGCCCTTTTGTTCAGTACCTTTGCTTCCATACATGCCCTATTATACCATGGATTCTTCTTTTGCTTCTCGGATTTTTCCCTTTGGGCCGGGATGAACCTCTTTACTGCCTCCTGACACTTTGGGTGACATAGTCCATCATATCTTGTACAGACTTAGCTCTGAGGTCTGTGTCTCAAGGTATTTCCCTTAGGAAACTTCTCATCTCCTCATATTTCCTCTTTCGGTATGCCAGCCTTTTGTTTCCTAACTTTTTTTTGGGAAGATAAATCCTAGCTCTGCCAGGTACTCAAAGATCAATACACTGTGATCACTCATTCCCAAGGGTGCTTCCATCTTAACTTCCCTTATAGCCCACTCATTTAGGGTAGGATCGAGCATGGCTGGTTCATCTTCTCCTCTCATTGTGTGTGTGTGTGTGTGTGTACTCACCTAATTGTGCTTGCGGGGGTTGAGCTTTGGCTCTTTGGTCCCGCCTTTCAACTGTCAATCAACTGGTGTACAGATTCCTGAGCCTACTGGGCTCTATCATACCTACATTTGAAACTGTGTATGGAGTCAGCCTCCACCACATCACTTCCTAGTGCATTCCATTTATTAACTACTCTGACACTGAAAAAATTCTTTCTAACGTCTCTGTGGCTCATCTGGGTACTAAGTTTCCACCTGTGTCCCCTTGTTCGTGTCCCACCCGTGCTGAAGAGTTTGTCTTTGTCCACCCTGTCAATTCCCCTGAGAATTTTGTAGGTGGTTATCATGTCTCCCCTTACTCTTCTGTTTTCCAGGGATGTGAGGTTCAGCTCCTTTAGCCTTTCCTCGTAGCTCAATCCTCTCAGTTCCGGGACGAGCCTGGTGGCATACCGCTGAATCTTCTCTAACTTTGTCTTGTGTTTAACTAGGTATGGACTCCAGGCTGGAGCTGCATACTCCAGGATTGGTCTTACATAAGTGGTATACAGGGTTCTGAAAGATTCCTTACACAAGTTTCTGAAGGCAGTTCTTATGTTGGCCAGTCTAGCATATGCCGCTGATGATATTCTTTTGATGTGGGCCTCTGGGGACAGGTTCGGTGTGATATCAACCCCCAGATCCTTCTCTCTATTTGATTCTTGCAGGATTTCCCCTCCCAGATGATACCTTGTGTTCAGCCTCCTGCTCCCTTCGCCTAATTTCATCACCTTACACTTTCCAGAGTTGAACTTCAGCAGCCATTTTCTAGACCATTCCTCCAGTTTATCCAGGTCATCCTGTAGTCTCTGTCTATCTTCATCCGTCTTGATTCTTCTCATAATTTTTGCATCATCAGCAAACATCGAGAGGAATGAGTCTATACCCTCTGGAAGATCGTTCACATATATTAGAAACAGGATGGGTCCAAGTACTGAGCCCTGTGGGACTCCGCTGGTGACATCTCGCCACTCTGATGTCTTCCCCCTCACCGTTACTCGCTGTTTCCTGTTGCTTAAATACTCCCTTATCCACTGGAGCACCTTCCCTTTTACTCCTGCCTGTTGCTCCAACTTTTTTAACAGCCTTTTATGGGGTACTGTGTCGAAGGCTTTTTGGCAATCCAGGAAAATGCAGTCGGCCCACCCTTCTCTTTCCTGCCTAATTTTCGTTGCCTGGTCATAAAATTCTATTAACCCTGTGAGGCACGATTTACCATCTCTGAACCCATGTTGGTGGTGCGTTACAAAGTTATTTCCCTCCAGATGCTCTACGAGCCTTTTCCTCAGGATCTTCTCCAGCACCTTGCATGGTATACAAGTTAAGGAAACTGGCCTGTAATTCAGTGCCTCTTGCCTGTCACCCTTTTTGTATATTGGGACCACGTTAGCTGTCTTCCAACTTTCTGGTAAGTCTCCTGTTTCCAGTGACCTGTTATACACCATAGAGAGTGGCACACTTAGTGCTTCTGCACCTTCCTTTAGTATCCATGGTGAGATTCTATCAGGCCCAACAGCCTTTGTCACATCTAGCTCCAGCAGACACCTTTTGACCTCATCACTGGTGAGGTCAAATTCCTCCAAGGTTTCCAAGGTTGCCGCCTCCTCATTTAGTGCAGGGGCTTCTCCTTGTTCTATTGTGAAGACCTCCTGGAATCTCTTGTTGAGTTCTTCACACACCTCCTTGTCATTCTCTGTGTATCTGTTCTCCCCTTTCCGCAGCTTCATCACTTGTTCCTTCACTGCTGTTTTCCTCCTGATATGGCTGTGGAGCAGCTTTGGTTGGGTCTTGGCTTTACTCGCGATGTCATTTTCAAACTGTCTCTCTGCTTCCCTCCTCACTCTGATGTACTCATTTCTGGCCCTCTGGTACCTCTCCCTGCTCTCTGGTGTTCTGTTATTTCTGTAGTTTCTCCATGTTCTTTTACTCAGTTGTTTCGCTACCTTACATTCCTGGTTGAACCATGGGTTTTTCTGTTGTTTTTCGTTTTTCTCCTTTTGGACGGGGATAAACCTGTCTGCAGCTTCCTGGCACTTTTGGGTGACAATATCCATCATGTGTGTGTGTGTGTGTGTGTGTGTGTGTGTGTGTGTGTGTGTGTGTGTGTGTATGTGTGTACTCACCTATTTGTACTCACCAATTTGTGCTTGCAGGATCGAGCATTGACTCTTGGATCCCGCCTTTCCAGCTATCGGTTGTTTACAGCAATGACTCCTGTCCCATTTCCCTATCATACCTAGTTTTAAAAGTATGAATAGAGTTTGCTTCCACAACCTGTTCCCCAAGTGCATTCCATTTTTCTACTACTCTCACGCTAAAAGAAAACTTCCTAACATCTCTGTGACTCATCTGAGTTTCCAGTTTCCACCCATGTCCCCTCGTTCTGTTATTATTACGTGTGAACATTTCATCTATTTCCACTTTGTCAATTCCCCTGAGTATTTTATATGTCCCTATCATATCTCCTCTCTCCCTTCTTTTCTCTAGTGTCGTAAGGTTCAGTTCGTGCAGACGCTCTTCATATCCCATCCCTCGTAACTCTGGGACAAGCCTCGTCGCAAACCTCTGAACCTTCTCCAGTTTCTTTATGTGTTTCTTCAGGTGGGGGCTCCATGATGGCGCGGCATACTCTAAGACGGGTCTCACGTAGGCAGTGTAAAGCGCCCTAAAAGCCTCCTCATTTAGGTTTCTGAATGAAGTTCTAATTTTCGCCAGTGTAGAGTACGGTGCTGTCGTTATCCTATTTATATGTGCCTCAGGAGTTAGATTAGGTGTCACATCCACTCCCAGGTCTCTTTCTCGAATCGTTACATGTAATCGTATCGAATGTTCTCGAAGGCTGTTCCCCTTCATTGTGTACTGTCCCTTTGGTCTCCTATCACCTGATCCCATTTCCATAACTTTACATTTACTGGTGTTAAACTCCAGTAGCCATTTCCCTGACCATCTCTGCAACCTGTTTAAGTCCTCTTGGAGGATCCTACAATCCTCGTCTGTCACAACTCTTCTCATTAATTTTGCGTCATCTGCAAACATTGACATGTATGATTCCACTCCTGTAAACATATCATTTACGTAAATTAGAAAGAGGATTGGTCCCAGCACCGATGCTTGAGGTACTCCACTTGTTACTGTTCGCCAGTCCGACTTCTCGCCCCTTACCATTACCCTCTGGCTCCTTCCTGTTAGGTAGTTCTTCACCCATACTAGGGCCTTTCCGCTTACTCCTGCCTGCCTCTCAAGTTTGTATAGCAGTCTCATGTGCGGTACTGTATCAAAGGCCTTTTGTGTTTACTAGTTGTGTTTACTAGTTGTGTTTTTGCGGGGGTTGAGCTTTGCTCTTTCGGCCCGCCTCTCAACTGTCAATCAACTGTTTACTAACTACTTTTTTTTTTTTTTTTCACACCACACACACACACCCCAGGAAGCAGCCCGTGACAGCTGACTAACTCCCAGGTACCTATTTACTGCTAGGTAACAGGGGCACTTAGGGTGAAAGAAACTTTGCCCATTTGTTTCTGCCTCGTGCGGGAATCGAACCCGCGCCACAGAATTACGAGTCCTGCGCGCTATCCACCAGGCTACGAGGCCCCTTTTGTGTGTGTGTGTGTGTGTGTGTGTGTGTGTGTGTGTGTGTGTGTGTGTGTGTGTGTGTGTGTGTGTGTGTGTGGAGAACAATATCGTGGAAGGAACCAATAAC